TGGGGTGATCCTGACTCACTGCAACCTCCGTGCCTGGGTTCAAGCGATTCTCCAGCCTCAGCCTTCTAAGTATCTGAGACTACAAGCACGTACCACCACATCTGGCTAATTTTTGTATTTTTAGTAGGGACTAGGTTTCACTATGTTGGCCAGGCTGGTGTCAAACTCCTGACCTCAGGTGATCCACCCACCTCAGCCTCCCAAAGTGCTGGGATTACAGGCATGAACCACCGCACCCAGCCTGTAGCTGATATTTATAACTTATTTTTCCTCTAGGACTGAAATAGGTAGGCAGTTTACTAAGGCCTTTCTTGACATGTATAGCAGAAAACTTCCTTTCTGGCTAACAGAGGTATAACTCAAGTCACTACAACAGTGAGCCACAGCTCCTTAACCAGTTCCAGACTTGAGCCAGTTCACAGCCCCAGAGCTCCTTGAATGAAGATGTCAAGTCTCTGGAACCAGCATCCTCACTGTAAATCTTTTTCCTGGTCTTCCCCAATAAGACCTAGGGCCATTTACTCAGATGACTGTGTTTCTGGGAGAGCGAACTAAATGGACTTTTGATTACTAGAGTAATCAAAAGGCTTGAGCCTATGCCCTAGTGGGCTTAGTTAATCCCTAAACCTACCCCATGTTTATTTCTTCACTTGTGGAATGAATAGTTAGTATAGATATGCTTAGCAACTAGAATAATTCCTACATTGGATCTCTGGCCTATGTATATTTTTTCTTTTATCTGTAACAAAATTTTTCCACACTATTGCAAGGTTAAAAGGGCTTCTAGAGATGCACATAATGCTGCAAAGTAGCAAAGGAAAATACATTGCAAATAGCTGAGGAAAATGTGGGAAAGGGAAGAAAAGGCTAGAAACATAAAAGGAAGCAAGACATGAAACTGGGACATAAAATGTGACATAAACTTTGGTACATCTGAGGGTGGCTGACAAATTTGTTCTTGAGCAGTAACACAATTCATTACAACTGTAAGTTAAAGACAAATGGAGTGCTTAGGAGAGGCATATCTACTTTGAACACTAGTAAAGAAAAAAGTTCAGAGGAGGATATTTCCTGCCTTTAGGCATTACCTGTTCTACTGTTTATTTCAAGTAGCATAGCTAGCTGAGTGTCCACAAACATAGTAACACCAGACATTCTATTCATTTAATGAAAACTCAGCCTAATTCTTAAGAAAAGTGTGAATTTCTGTGTACCTCTTGTTAATTGGGTGGAGTAAGGCTTTGTTCTAGCAACCACATTCACACCACAGAGAATGAAAATGACACATATTACTTTAGTTTAAAAGAGTTCAGGGCACACAAGATTAAATAAGGGAAATAATTTGAAAACTTCGGGTCAAATCTTGAGTTTTCTCTTTTGAGCTGGCCTGTTGACTTCCTTTGAAGTCAACAAAACTCCTGGATTTCTTCCATAGGGATAAAGCACGAAATGAGAAATAGGCCTTATCACATCAGTCTACAGACAGTTCTCAAGTGGCAGAAAACAGTATTAACATTTGGAGGAGTCAAATATTTACACATTTTTAAAATGTTAAATAAGTGATTATGATGTGGCTTTTTAAAACAATAAATTAGCCTAGATAAGCACTGGTCAGTGGCCTTGTTGAAGATCTTTTATATTAATATAATTACTTCATACAAAATATAACAAATGAGCATAGGCTATCACATGCAACTAGTAAAAAGCTATCAATAGTAACACAATGGCAAAAATGCCATATTTTGTTCCAAAGCAATTAAAGGATAAATTCTAGACTGGAAGAGTACATACAACGTCCACAAATATCAACAAAGAATAAAAAGATTGTGAGAAATTTCACAGCTGAGAATGAATATCAGATAACATAAAAGAGAACTCTAAATCAATTAGCTAATGAAAACAAGAATCAGTGCCAGAGTCAACCAAGTCTGTGAGCATAAATGCTCAAGAAAGATTCAGAAGACTCTATTCTACTGTAGCCCACATTGTACAGTCATAAAATTACTAACATCCTATGGTTGTTAACATTGAAAAAATACATTAGAAAATTCCTAAATGAAAATCTAAAAAGAATGGCATGAAGAAGAGCTTTTTCAAGTACAATGCAGAGAAGTTATAAAAGATAAGATTGGCAAACTGCACTACATAAAAGTTTTAAAAATTTTTCTACATATTAATATACATGAAAAACAAAGTCAAAAGACAAATGAGAAACTTGGAAAAATATTTACAACTCAAATCACATAAGACAACATATATCAATATATGCAAAGCCTACAAATAAAAACAAATGACCAAGAACACGATAGAAAAAGAGGCAAATTATATCTCCAGAGAGTTCATGGAAAAGAAAATACAAATGGATGGAGCATATTAAAGACGTACAAACTTTCATTTAAAAGAAAAGAAATACAAATTAAAACTTTACTGAGATACCACTTTTTGCCTACAAGTGTCAAAAGTCAAAAGGGCTTGGCCAGTATCTAGAGATAGACATTTTTGCACAGCGTAATAAGAAAGAAACTTTGTGGAAGTCATTTTGAAGAACACACACACATATATCTAACTGTTTGTTCAACTTTTCTACTTTTAAGAATTTACAATGCAAAGGTTAAATGACACATGAGAAAGTTAATTGAAGCATTGCTTACAATAGATAAAGAATGAAAACAATCTAAATGTCTATTGGTAGGGAGGCTGGCTAAATACGGCCATACAATGAAATAATGTGTGACTGTATAAAAAGAACAGGATCGTTCTCTATGAACTGATACCATAAAGAACTAGATAACATTAAAAAAATCAAGGTACAGATTAGTGAATACAGTATTCTAGTTTCATAAAAGAGAGAAGGAAGAATATTACACATATGTACATGCACATATATAGGCATACATATAATGTGCATGTATAGGCATACATATAACATGTGCATTCATGTGTGTGTGTGTGTGTGTATGTGTATATATATATATATATTCTTCCTTCCCTCCTTGCTTGATAAGCAAAAAGATTATCAAGTTACTTGCTTGATTAGCACAAAACATCTCCTGAAGTATACCAAAAACCTGAAAGTTTGTGCAAGAATAACTGATTGACTCTAAGGAGAACTGGATGCCTGAGAGAAGGAGGTAGGATGGACTTTGCCCTGTTATACTCTTTTGTGAGGATTTAATTTTGAGCTGTATGAATGAATTACAAGTCAAAAAATACAATACAAAAGTTGTCTCCCATCTATAACATCATCCCCCATTTCTGCCCTCAGTTAACTTTCCCTGTCACTAGTGAGCGGTATAGAGTCAACCTCCTCAGTATCCTTCTCTGTAAACAAACCCCAGGAGCAAGTCTATTTACAAATCCAGTTTAATAAAACCACTATATAAACTCAGTTTGAAGAAAAAGTCCATTGAGTCTCTAAGATGAAGAAACTGTGAGCTGTGAGCCTCAACAACACCACATTCAGAGTTTAGAAATGAAAGGAAGCAGAGATATGGGATTAAAGTTAATGATAGTCTAGGAGCCACTAGGGTTTTATTTTTTAGTAGCCAGAACATTCCTGGGATCTTGAAGTCAGGAAAAATATTCAGTGAATGTAAAAATAAAAATAAAAAAGCCTGCATTATCAACAATTAGCCCCAAAGTGATTAAGTGTGAGACTCCAAGCACCCAAGAACTAAGTCTGACAAAGTTTTAAGGTTCACTGGTGTCCTTTAAGAGGCAGGGAGAGACCAGGAGGGAGCATAAGAAGGAATTGGGACTTTTCTTTCCTTCCAGAGCCTATTCTTTTCTTACTAAACACATTAACCATTTTTTTCCCACAGAAGTGATGCTGTCAAAACTCTTCTTTATGAACAAAATCTGGGGGTTCACTAAATTGAAAAGCATCTCTGGCTAAAAATGCACCAACTGTGCAACACATATGATTAAAATTATGAGAAGTTATCTTTGAAGGGATAAAGGTTGAAAGCAGTCTGTAAATTTAACTAAGGACAACAATGGCTAACCCTCTTTTTTCTACACAAAGAACCCCTAACTGATGAGTTTGCCCTCACACTGGTAAGATACCATAGCAAACTTCCTAATAAAAATAGAAAATTGTTTGTATATCAGAACATGGTAAAGCTGAAAGAGACCTTGAGTGGATTTCCTGAAAATACTGCCAAGGAAATTGAGACCCAGAAAATTGCCCAGAGTTTTCCAGGTGATTAATGGTAGAGCTATATCTACTTGGTCTTGTGTTTATTTTTGCCTTTAAATATTTTAAAGGACACTGATGACCATTGATCTTGAATGGATCTCAAAGCTTTGTAAGAAGGCTGAGAGGCTTATCTAGGGAATACTTCTTTGTTTTCCCCATAGATTTAACTCCTTTATAAGCACAATTCATTTGCTGTGTGCACATATGATTATATTTGGAAAGAAGTAGTATTTATGGTAAAGAGATATTCAGCATCCTATCAAGATGATCAAGGAATATGAAGTTGTGCCAAGCACTGGGCCACTCCCTACACTGAAATGTTTCTAATTGCTTCCAAATTCTGTGATAAAAATCAAGGACTCAAAAGTTGAGAAACAAATCCACTGTTTCTGAAATGTGTTTTTTCAACTCTATTTGTGCCCTGTGGGTCAGTCTCAGGGCTGGTTTTTCTTATCTATGAAATGGGACTAGTGACCTCAACTCAAGATTTACTTGGGTGTTCTCAGGCATGCATGAAAGATACAATGCTGAAATTCTTACCACATAAATGCTGCTATTTAATAGTGAGTCTGTAAAATAGTCATGAACAGGCAATAATAGAAGAGTTAATAAACATAAGTATTGCGATATTCTTATTTTTATATGATTGTCTTTTAGATCATCCTATTTCTGAACATCTTCTGAAACTGATGGAATAGAAAAGGGAATTTAAATAGTATAAAATGCTATCATAATATGGTAACTGTGGGCATATTTATACATTCATACTGCCACGGTTAGTAGGATAGATTCTTATCTTTTGCTTAAGGAATAATACATTTTTCCTACAGTAGTGAATGCGGACATATTCCACTAGAATGCAATTGGATGGCATCAAGTCTATTTAATGCAACACTTCGTTAAACAGAATATTTTCCCCAAACCCAAAGCACCTAAAAGTTTAATTCAAAAGACTTTGGAAATGGGAGGAGGAGAGAGGAGAATTAAGAATGAAACATACCTTAGTGGGAAGTGAACTTTTAAAAATGATTTTTAAAGAATCAAGGGCCCAACTTCTTGAGTACTTCAGTCAACGGATCACAAGTTTTTGTTAGTTTTATTGGAGGAGAAACAAAGTAAAAACTAACAGTTCTGAGGATAAGCAAAAAATACTGGGAATACCTGTCTCCTCACACTGAGGCGCGTTTTATGAATAACTTCAGCCGGCTAACATACCTTCCTGCAAAACATAGCCAAGATGTAAATTGAAAAGTGGCAGAGGTGTGGCATGTTTCAAAAGTTTAAACTCTGCTTATGAGAGACCGCAGTCCCAGCTGGGAGCTCCGGAAGGGAGTCATCAGTCCTTCAGTCAGATGCCCCTGCAGGAAGGTTGCCGCTGAGGTAGGAACTGACCCTGCAGCTGGAGAGGACGCCCGGGAGTGAAGGGCCGGGTTCTGGGACCCAGCAAGGTAAGGAGGCATCTCCATCTCAGCTACTCTCCTGCACTTTGGAAAGGCCGAAAAGGATTCGCCCAAAGTTAGGCGCGCTGTTGGCTGTCAACGTTCTTTAGGACCTCAGGGAATCCCGGGCGTTTCTGGCTTTAGGACCCAGGAACTCCGAGGCAGCCTAGACTTAGATGCCTTGGACCACAGCACCACCTACTTATAGAAGCATCCCGAGCCTCTGCCCGTCTGCATCTCTATCGGAAAGTGCGCTCGCCACATCCCTTCGGATCACTTCGTCTTTCCGGGACTGTTCGCCTTCTACAGCTCGGGAAGAAAGAAACCTTAGCTGTGAAGTGACCGTGGAGAAAGCGCAGGAAGCGGCACAATTGGCTAGGGGCGCAGAGAGTGAGAGCCGGCGCACCCCTCGCCCGGGGACCGCACTCGCGGGTGGGGACGGAGCATCCCAGTGGCTGCACCCGCAGCTCCACGCTCCTGCCCGTGGTGGCTCGAATCCCATAGCTGCCAGGCGCTCCCGGCGGGTCTCGGCAAACTTTTCCCCAGCCCACGTGCTAACCGAGCGGCTCGCTTGCCGAGCCCAGGATGGAGCGCCGCGCCTAGGGAGGCCGCGCCGCCCGAGACGTGCGCACGGTAGGCGACCCATACCAAGGCAGCCGCAGCCGCGGCCCTCGGGTACCCAGCCGTGGGTTCCAAATGGCCCAAGAGCGTTCTTTTATCCCTGCGCTTTCAGTGCCTTTGGAGCTCTTTCCTTTCCCGGGAGCGCCGGTACAACGCCCTATGCCCCGGAGTCGGAGTTTAGGGCTCGGCAGAGGTTGCTAATTCTCTGATTGTAATCACCTTCCTCTCGAATTCATCCACAGCTGCACGTTCTGGATTAAGCCGCTCTGCGGCTCGTGCCAGGCACTGGGTTCGCTTGCTCCTTCCCTCTCTTCTTTAAATTGGGACGCGCGAAGGCGCAGCTACCTCCCAGGAGCTCTCTCCATCCCCCACCCACCCTGTTTTCGCTCCTCGTCTCTCAGGTTCGTGGCGGAGAGATGCTGATCGCGCCGAACTGACCGGTGCGGCCCGGGTGTGAGTGGCGAGTCTCCCTGAGTCCTCCCCAGCGGCGTGGCGGGCGCCGGCTCGGTGCGTGAGCCCTTCAGTTCCCCGACTTTGAGAGGCGTCTCTCCCCCGCCCGACAGTCCAGATGCGGTTTCGCCTTTTCTCCTTTGCTCTCATCATTCTGAACTGTATGGATTACAGCCACTGCCAAGGCAACCGATGGAGACGCAGTAAGCGAGGTGGGTCCCTGTCTGCCAAAGGTGCGTGGGCTTCAGGGGTGGGGTGTGGCGGCGCTCCCTTACGCCCTGGCTCCCGGGGCTCAGATGGGCAGGACTGTGCTCTCCACCCCAGCTTTTGCGGGTCCCCACTCTCCTACCTTTAGGACCCTGGAGCTCTACAAAGCACTCAGTGTTTGCTGTCCCCTGGAGGCGCGGGGAGCTCCGCGAGCCGGGCGAGAGCCGGGCGCCACTCGGGCGCTCAGGGTGTCTTGCGGTCCGCACTTCGCGGCCGCACCTTCTCACCTGAACTTGCCTCTTTGGGATGTATTTCTTATCTGGCATACATTTTGTTTTGTTGTTGCTCTTCTCTCTGTCTTCTTAACCATCTTCCCTGTAGCTCATTTGTTTTACCTTCCCCACCCACGTGCGCCCCAAACCCGGTCTCATATCTCTTTGGACTTGGCTAAAGAGACGTAGGGTGTGTGGGTGTGCCTGCGCGTGTGTCTGTGTCTGTATTCTGGAGCTTGGGAGGGGTACCAAGTCGAAGGGGAGGACCTCCATTTCCAGAAAAAAAGGCCAACATAGATCCCTTTTCTGGAACCTGAGAGGAGATGGGAACTTTCTGAATTGAGCAATAATTCCCGCGCTGGTTTTCCGGGGAGTGCTCGCCTCCAGAGGTTCGTTTTTAAAACAAGCCCCACTTAGCTCTCTTCATTTGCTTTGCAAAAGCAGCTACAGCGGTGGAGGCTTCCGTTCTCAATGAAATTCACTTGCGGCTTTTTAACAGCTCTCTGTCTCTCCATCACTAGTGCGTTGAGGGGAAGGCGGTGGAAGTCTCCAGAAGGGTTTCTGGGAACTCGCTTTCCTGCAGATTTAGTGTGCATTTCTGTCTCCGAGTCTGCTGAGGCTACAGCCAATCCAATTGCATTTTAGGAGAAGAGCGGCTAGACACGATTCCATTTTCTTGGGGGATTTAAACATAAACCACTCACCACACACACATTTTATTACCCGCCCAGGGAAGGTGCGCAGCAGCCCCTTGCCAGGGACCTGATGAGAGCTATTTCTTCAGTTTGTACTTTTGCGCAATTAGAATTTGTCGCCGGGTTCATCAATCTTGACTTTTCCTTCTTCTTTAAGATGTAGACGTCTCACTCGACCTGTGATGTGATTACATGCTCTTTGTATGTAATCTCCGGTCCTGCATCCATATTTTGGGGGGGACTTTCCGAACCATACATGTGTGTGTGTGTTTAGGAACTCGTTAAACTGGTCTCACTTAGGGGCAGAGCTAGAGATTGGCCCACCTGGGCACAGAGCTGCAGATAACTGATGGTGTGCGACTTTTGTAGTACCTGCGCTTCAATTGTCTGTATCTGTGGCTTGCAAGGATAAACTTTCTCCCACTTCTCTCCCTCCCTCTCCCTTGATTACTGGCTTTTGGAAATTGTTTATTTTTAGAAATTATTCTACTTAAAAATACTAGAGAGAAATTTCTTCCCAAAGTTTTTGGGGGTTTGCTGTTCATAATTGTCTTGAAAAAGTCCCTTTTCATCTCCTCTCTCTTCCCCTCCTAACTGGTTCTTTTCTCAATTCCCGTATTTTCTTCGAGCATTCGGCAAAACCTGCAATTTTTGATTACACTATGGTCAAAAGTGTTTGGAGAGGCTTTTCTTCTTCTTGTAAGTCAAAGCTGCAGTCTACTTAGAAAAACTAAAGTGCCTGAAGTCTGCAAAATATAGAGATATCTGAAATCCTTTGCCAGATCCTTAATTAGGTGACTTACTAATTCAGTGAAGTTTTCTGATCCACACTGCCTGTCCCATTGTGGTTGAGTGGGGAACTAAGCATATTGTTTTAGTAAAACTTAAATGCAGAGATGCTGTTTGGTGGAAAATGACATTACAGCACTCCTGCGGCCAGAAGGGATACTGCACGCCTTCTCTGCAGTGCCATCTCTAAGAATCTGCGTATGCCTTCTTAGGTATCTGAACCAGAGCCTATTTATTTCGAAGCTTGATTTTAGCAAAATCTCTTGTAAGGATTACCATCCACATCCCCAAACACTGACATTCCAACTCTAAATTGTGCAATAGTAATTTATCCCAAATCAACCTTTCAATTTAATAAAATTCAAATGCTTTTAAGAGCATGTAAATTGGTAAGGGTGTTAAAAAAAAATCTATCAAAAGTTTTTTTTCTTCTCAACAGATGTCCCTTCACAAATTCCAAGTTTCTGGCTAAAATAACTGTAGTCCTTAAAAGTGACCACACTGTACCAACAAAGGGTGTACTGTGTTTTTAATTAAAAGTGGAACTACTTAAAGGGCTGGCCAGACAGCGTAGGGTGATAGTAGCTTTTCTACTTTGCAAGGAAGCTTAAGGATTGCATTGTGAGAGTATTGAAATGAATAGAGATCTAACTCAAGTTGTGTGAATTGCCCCTCTTCACAAACTTAAGCTGGTTTTAATTGATCTCATGTCCACTGATTGATCCTACACCAATTGTTGTGCCTACCAAACAATGAGCTTTCCCCAAAAGATTGATTTCAATTAGTTCCTCAGTGAATGCTTGACTACGGCCAAATCAGTTCAGCAGTGACAGGTGACATGCTAGGGCCTATGTGGTACCAACATTTCCCTTTGCCCCTTTGTTTTGGATAGTGGCAGTTAAATATTTTTTCCAGGAAGAAAAGTAATTGGTGTTTTTTTTTAAAGGTGTTGTAGCTTCGAAGATTAGTTCTTTTCTTGGCTTTATGCTACAGTGTAGGCGGCAGTGGTGCCACGGGATTGGTTAGGCTTACCCCTGGGATCTGATTCTTTTTCTTTCTTTCTTTCTTTTTTTTTTTTCCATATTGCATCTGCAAATAATCAAACCTTCACTGTGGAGCATTCTCAGAACCCCTTTGGCATTATGTTTAGTCTGCTCTATGATCTCAGATGCTCCATAATATCATTTTTCTTAATGAAATAAAATTCTTGGCAGACATCAGATAATTTAGTCAGTTAAAATCAATTGCATCCAGTTGGGATGGAGAGCAAATATATCATTTAACTGTATATTTTATTTCAAAATATAGCCAGAATATTGAGAAAATAGGATTTCGACTTTCTCTACTTTTAGACAAAACTCCATATGGGGGAGATTGTCACAAGCAATAACACTACCCAGCTACCATATTTTCTTCCCCTTATTTTGAAAAGTTATAAAAATGTCTTCGATAGTTATTATTGGGAAATGTTGCAATAATTTTAAAAAATTAGATACAAACGCAATACAATACTGAGAATGAATATCTTTTGGAGGGGAGACACTTGCCAACATTCTGAAAAGCTGATTGACAACTCTCATTTTTCTCTCCATGTAACATATTAAGATTTGTCTCCCTGACTCCTCTTCAAAATAGTCATGATTAGCTGTCGTTAACCCCTACTATTTGTCTCAGTCTTGAGACTGCTTATGATTAATTTACATGGGAAGTGGAATTACTTGATTACTTTCATTTTTTGGAATGGTTGTAAGCCACATTACAGGCTGAATTACTGAAAGGTGGATAGACAAATCATAACTTTATTGTGGTCTCCTGGAATTTCTGGAGCTTGGCACATAATGACTTAATCTTATATCTCCTTCATTCTGTTTTTATATCCTATGGTATTTTAACCAGAAATATATGAAAACTTCTCGATAAAACTCTCAATGGAGCAAGGTTTCCAAATGTACAATTCATGTTTCTGGTGGTCTGATGGCAGGGGGCGTGCTATGACAAGGGTTTCCTGCTGTAGCCTTTTTCATACTGAAGCCTCAGCTTCTCTTTCCTCTAATAACTCTTCATTTTCACAAAATTAGATTTAGTTTCTTCCATAAAAATGAAGGGTTTATCACAAAGAGCGTGGCATGTTTCTGGTAACAGAGGCTGGAAATATTTTCTCTTAAACCTTATAGAGCTAAATTAATTTGTGTTTGCATTCTTAAAACTTTAATGAAGAGATTCAAATTTTTTATGCAAGTACTTTTTAAATAATAGTTTATTTCTCCTGGTAATCTTTCAAAATACAAAATGACAGATAGGACATACTCACCTACAGTTCAATGAAAACCTTTCAAAACACATTTTGCATGCTTGCTTACTTTAAGTTCCAAAGCAGTTCAGAAAAGCTGATGTGATATTTAACTTTGCAACATAAACATTTTCTTTCTTTTCTTTTCTCTTTTTTGATTGGCTGCTTTCTCTTCCAGGGTAACTGCATAATTTTTTAAGCTAGGGTCTTACCAGTACAGAGAGGTCAGAAAGTTGTTGTGTTCAAACTAACATCTTATATTGCCACAGAAATTTGGAAGTGATTCAGAATAAGTGACATTCCCTTAGGCCCCGGCTTTATTTGCTTTTAAAATATAGCTTGGGTAGAATCCAGTCTTCACAGAAATCACAAATTGGAAATGACACTTCTGGTTCCTTAATGCAAAACCACCTTTGATTTATTTAGAGACAAACTGGCCAGTTTGTGGAATATCCTGGGTACTTCTTTATTTAAACCATTTCCTTCCTTCTGGAGATATGCATCCTTGTTCATCCCAAGCCCAGGAAATAGGTGACAGACAGATTTTATTTGACATACGCTTGATAACTGCTCTGCTAAAAGGAGGTAATAAACTTTGGGATGACAAAGTTTGAAAATTTCTATATTTAAGGTGACATGAAGCTTATTATTTTCTCCATTAACTGCAGCAATCAAGGGCTGAACAGCTGAAGACAGTGTTGCATATCTATATTTACACATTTTCATATGTTCATCCAGAATAGATGAAAAATATGCTAATTAATACTAAAGTATATACATAATGTATATTATATATACTAGGGAAGGTATATATGCATACATATATATGTGGGGGTGGGTGGATATGTGTAGGGAAAGCGATGAGAGGATGGTATAATTACGGAGGATTGGGATTTCAGAACTAAGATTTTCACTCATTTTTTTCTAGTCTTCCCTTTTCATCTTTCTCTTAGGATGAAAAGATGGGGGGAGTAAGTGGG